GAAGTTTTCTCTACAGCCACAGCCCAGCGCTCTCTACCTGTGGATTTCAATCCTGTTTGTGTTTGATTGTAAAGTCATCTCGTCAAAGCATTGTTTGCGAGCAAGAAGAGGTTGCAAGGAACTTTTGCAAGAGCTGTGCCGTCTCCAAGCTTCACTTCAAGCTGGGAAGTCGACGGGCCAGAGACTGGGAAAGTTGAGTGTTTTCTTCTGATTGCAGCTGCAAGCTAACCTGTTGAACTTGTGAGTTGTTGCTCAGGGGCGGGGATGGCCTCTGTGTGTGCTATATGCTGTGTTTATGTGTGTCTATCTGTCTGGGAGATGGCCTCCATGTGGGTCTGTCTCTCTGTGTGTTGTGAGCTGAGGAGCAGCTCGCAAGGTTCCTGGCTCCGCTGGGAGGGCTTGATCTCTGGGAGAGAGGAGGGGGGGAATGGGCTAAGGGCTCCCCTCTTGGCTGTCGATCAGTCCACCTGGTCCCTGGCCAAGGTCCTGAATCCTCGACCTCTTCCCTTTGCAGAGAAAGAGGAGGCTCAGTGAGTTTCCTGTGTGTGCAAGGTTTGGAGATGCTCTAACCCTTGAGAATTCTGCTGGAAAGTTAATGTATGTGTTGCAAAGTCTTGGGGGCGGGACTGTGTAGTTCTGCCACTGTGGCATGCTCGCATTGGCTTGCGTGTCTGTGTGTCTGCGAGAGTGGGTTTGGGTTTGCTACCCCACAACCTCCACGGTTGCTGGGTGGGGCCCTTATCCACTCCACAGAGCATGTCAGCGTCTCTACAATGCTGACTGCGGTTGGGAAGGAGACCAACCTGTTCTTCTGAGGAAGATTTCTGCTGTTAGCTGTGCGTATCTGTGGGAGGGAATTGCTGACCAGAGTGCTGGATCCTTCTCACCCCTCCTTGCAGCTTCTCCACGAGGCTGGAGGATGTGTCCTGTGTATGGTTGAGTTAGAGCCAAAATGTGCCTTTGTGTGGCAAATGATTTGCAATTTGTGATTTCCTTTTGAGAATGTGCTAACCTGTTTTTTTCTGTTAACTAGAAACTTTTTTAAAGTGTGCTGGAGTGGAATTGAAAGTTTAAGAATGAGTCTGTTCTGTTATTGCTCTGTAATGAACTGTGATTAACCTGTTATTTGCTTTCTGTGTTCTGAGCTATGTTCTGATTTAGTTTTCCTTTCTGTAAACTTGAAATGTAGAATTGGGTGATTAAGGATATGTTATGCTTTTGTTGTTTCCTTTCTGTAACCTGGAAATGTTTTAAGCTGGGCCTGAAGATGAAAGCTTCATGAGTTGAATTGAGTTGTTCTATGCTTGTTTTGTATTCATTATGTAATGATGTATTCTATGTCTGCTGACTGTTGTGATATGTTGTGTTATCCTCATGTATGCATGTTCCCTGAGGACTAAAGTAGATGAAAATTGAGGTATCTACCCCGAATTTCCATCTTTAAGGGGGAGGGTGTATAGAAATATTAATCCCTGTAGGCCTTAGGTCTCCCCCTGAATGTTCTGTAGTCTCATGTTTCTTCTTTGGAATGTATCTTCCTAACCCCCGTGGTGTGCATTTCCTCTTGAAGCCAGATGCTCTGACCAAATGGACGCAATTGCCGTCATAAACCACATGCCTCTGCCAAGCATGGCAGAAACACACGTACGCAATGAGAATTGGGGTTGGGGTGGAGACCACAACTGCAGGTGTGGCCTCCACGACAACTGACCATTCAGGACACACTGTAAGTCAATTGGTTCCCGGCCAGGGCCATTTGAAACCTGGGATTGCCCTTTATCAGTCTGAACACAAAGACACAGATTCAGATTTTCTGCTTGCTGTTCTGTTCTTGTTACCTGCTGTCTGTGGACTTGTTCTGGAGCTGCTTGTCTCTGCCATGAGGCTTGGGCCGCCAAAGGACTCCAGTGAAGCACATGGCGAGGTGCTTGCATAATGGATCTTT